CCCAGGCTGGCCTCGAACTCACAAAGATCCGCCTGCCTCTGCCTCCCGAGTGCTGGGATTAAAGGCGTGCGCCACCACCGCCCGGCTGTGAATGGCTTTTGTTATGTAGGCTAATTTTATGTTATTTAAGATTTAATTCAATTTTAAAAACTTTATCAGTTTTATAATAATTACAGGACATAAAATGTTACGGGTTTTTCTTTTTTTCTATTAGAAGGTAAAGTAGATACCATATTAACAAGAGCACACAGTGAATGGCACCGATTACACCATATCACCTATGGACCCAGAGGTGAAGAAGTGATTTACACAATGTGGGAGTCACTTCCAACCAGTCCCCAGGCATCTGAAATTCATACACTATGGAAGCTGGTCTGACTACCTGGTGCCTCCAGAGCTACGCAAGCCAGAAATTATGTTAGAAATTGTTTCCCAGTGAATTCCCTTTGTTCATTAAAAAGGGGTGGGGTTAAAGTGTTGCTAAGTAGCAGAATGTTTGTCTAATGTGCACAGGCTTTGGGTTGTTCCATCCCAGAACCACAATAAAGAGGCAAACACAGGCAGTTAGCTCCCTGGACTCATGAGCTATATATACACCTACAGATTTGATCACCGAAAATATTTGGGTGGGTGGGGGGGAGAAGAGTATTTATACTGAATATGACCAAAATTTTTCTTGTTTCTTAAACAATATAATATAATACAGCAGTACTTTATTATCAGTTATTATAAATAATTTAGGGATGGTTTAAAGAATGTAAGGGAAGGAGTTAGAGAGATGGCTTAGTGGTTAAGAGCACTGGCTGTTCTTGCTGAGGACCTGGGTTCAGTTCCTAGCATCTACATGGTGGCTCACAACTGTTTTTAACTCTAGCTCCAGGAGATCCAACACCATCTTTTGGTCTCTGTTGGCACCTACAGACACATGGAGTACACACATAAACACACACACACACACACACACACACACACACACACACACACAGAAAAATAAATCATTAAAAATAATACAAGAGAGTGTAAACAGGTTATATGTGAAACCATGCTATTTTATGTATAGGCCTTAAATATTGTAGGTTTTGTTTGTTTGTTTGTTTGTTTGTTTTTGTATCTCAGAGGAGATGGGTTCCTTGAGCTAATCCTCCTCTGATACCAAAGAGTGACTTTATTTAAAACATGTCTTGGAAAACTTGGTAGTCTTCTTGAAGGAGTATGTGGGACCTGGAAGCCCAGTAAGTATAAAGTACTATTGGAGCCCATCACATTATCATCAGAACCAACTAAGCAGGATGGAGACAGACTGCGAGGTAAGGCACCAAAATACGACCCATAGAAAATTCTGAACCAGGTACCTTGGCCTCTTTTTGGTTTGTCTTCCACCAACACTGTCCTCAATAAAAACACTGTAGCTGAAAAATACTTTGTCTGGACTAGAGAGGTGGTTGTGTGGTTAAGAGTGCATGCTATGCTGCTCTTGCAGAAGACTCCAGCTGCGTTTCCAGCACCCAAATCGGGTGCCTTATCACTGTCTATAAGTCCAGCTCCAGGAAGATCCACACAAGATCCACACACACACATACTCACTCTCTCTCTCTCTCTCTCTCTCTCTCTCTCTCTCTCTCTCTCTCTCTCTCTCTCTCTC